CAAAAAATGGCTAAAAAATCACCCCCAATTTTTATTACATTTTCTGATACATATTGACGTCCTTATGTTGTGTAGAAAGTTTGAGCTGATTTCGACTTCAATTTTTTGAGTTACGGCCATTTTAAAAAAAGACCAAAATTCTGAAAAAATCCCTGTACTATAGCCCATGGTTTTTTCCAAAAAATGGCTAAAAAATCACCCCCAATTTTTATTACATTTTCTGATACATATTGACATCCTTATGTTGTGTAGAAAGTTTGAGCTGATTTCGACTTCAATTTTTTGAGTTACGGCCATTTTAAAAAAAGACCAAAATTCTGAAAAAATCCCTGTACTATAGCCCATGGTTTTTCCAAAAAATGGCTAAAAATCGCCCCCAATTTTTATTCTATTTTCTGATACATAATGATGTCCTTATGCTCTTTAAAAAGTTTGAGCTGATTCAGACTTAAATTTTTAAAGTTACACCCATTTAAAAAAATTAGCCAATTTCTGAAAAAATCCCTGCATATACCTAATAATACCTTATATAGCTCATGCTTATTTTCTAACTTACGTGTTTTGCTTTGAGTGTGTGGCACATCCTCTTCTCCAACGAATCTCTCATTTCCTTCATCTTCAATCGACTCATTCTCTAATAGTTTCAACTCCTCCTCACTAACATTAAATATCTAACAACAACAAATAAATAAATAAATAATATTAATAGTTAAAATAAAGTAAGTGGTCTTACATCGTGAACATGAGCAGCCATTATTTCTACAACTTTTGCTTGATAACTCATGTTAGCTAGTAATTCAAGTGATGGGATCATCTCTCTATAAAGGAAAGGAGACTGAGTATATGTACATGTACATTTATTAGAATGGGGCCTCTATATAATGGACATTTTGGTACAGTAAAGTGTCTCTGTTATACAGAGATGTCCTTTATGTGGAAGTTATTTTATACAGTAAGGAATGTAATTGGTACACTAGGTGCTGTCCGTTAAATGGAGGTGTACGCTATAGAGAGTGTCCATTAAGAGAAGCTACGTGGCACATATAAATATTTCTTACCTTTGTTGCAGTAGATTAGGTCCAAACACAATGCCAATGTTACTGGGAGGCATACAGTTAGTCTTAACATGCTCTGGACTACTAACTCTGTATGAAGAAAGGAAGAATACTTATGTAAGTACTATATATTCCAAATTTGTTCTAATTTCAAACAAAAGTTGTTCTTGAATTCCCTCACCTGTGTAAATGGTACATTAGTCTAGCGAGTGTCAGTTGGTTTTGCTCAGGTAGTCTGTATATCAACTCTCTCAATCTCTTCAGTAATTCTCTAGCTTTCATTTCCTTGTCGTTAGTAGCAGTGCTTAAATCGCACGGCAGATACCTCGTAGCTTCCTAAAAGGGTGTGGTCAGTAAAGTGGGTGTGGTTGTACTGGTTACCTTGGCAAATGAGAGGAACTCTTGATAGAGTGAGAATGTGAGAAGAGGCTCTGGAAGCTAAAATAAGAAAATTTAAAAAATAATTTCACATAAACATAATTTTAGTGATATACAATGTTACATGTACATACATGTACATGTTCACAGCAATTACCATATACATGTAGCGGGAAATTTTGGAGGGAATAAAATTTGGTGAATTTGGCGTTATTGATAGCCATTTGCCAAAATAAATCCACCATTTTGAGCCATCCGCCAAATTTACTTCCTCCAAAATTCCACTATACAGTATATGT